GGAAGAAAATCTGTTAGAGCCGTGTTTTCAAAGGAATCCCTCAAGGCCACCTTTCACTGCAGTTTCTGTTGAAATTGAGTCATAAATTTTAATAGAAAAAATATGTAATTGCTATTATTTATAGTACTGGAAAAAACCCTAGATTTGTATAATGGAAGAAAAGGTGTCAATCAATGAATAGGGTCCCTGCTAAGGAAAGCTAAACCCCAGAGGTAAAATTTAAATTTAATTTTTTGGCATTCACTGATTTCCTTCATGTCTTGAATGGTTCCCTCTAAAACATCAACTATATGTTAAAAATAAAACCTCCATACAATACTCCTTAAATTACAGAAACGTTATGAATTGTATGTAATATTCTTTCATCTTTTCTGCCTCTAGGGGGAAGTGTGTTTTCAACAATTCTGTCCCCAGAAGGTATTTTCTTTGTGGGCTGCAGGCTTCACAGGGATATTCTTTAATGTGACCTCAGTGCTGGCTTCACAAGGGAGAAGATGTTCTCTGTGAAAATCTGGAAGGGCTCTTGCTTTAGAGATCACTAAGGGGATTGTGAGAGAGATCATATAGACTATTAAATCTGGTGGAGAAAATTTCCTTATAGCATTTCTAATACATTTCAAAGAATTACATGTTGAGGTTCCTTATATAATGCTGTCTTTCCCGGTGGTAGAGGAATTAACATATAGACACTGCCTTCATTTCAAAGAGCTGGCAAACAATTGAATATAGAAAACTGGCCACCTTAAAGTTAAAAAAGTATGGTTTGTGGATATGGATGAAAACATTTCTAAATCCTACAAAAAGTCTATTCATTTCTGTAGTAATCATGTTTAGAGCTAACATTGCCTTTCATTTGGGTAATTTTCTTTTATTTTGCAGCACCTCCCTGTAAGTTTCTTTTGTTTTTATTCAGCAATTGTAGCCAGAATGTACTAAGTGAAAAGGTTAGCAATCCTTCCCCCCATTTCAGTGTTTTACAGAATTGAAAGGAACAATATTTAAAAACTGAGTCTAAAGGATGAGTTATTTCTATTTCTTTCTCCCTTCCTTCTTGATCCATTTTTATGATTATAATGCTGAAAAATTCTATTATAATCTATTAATAATTATCTTAGTGTGCTCTATATCCTCAAAACTTGGCTACATATAAAATAAAATTTTAATACAAAGAATGTTATTATGTAATGAAAATTAGCTTTGTTTCCAAACCTCTTTTACATGATGTAATAGGTGGTAATGCTTATTTCCAATTCAATCTCAGGGATGAAGATGTACTTAAGTATGTAATTTCTATTCTTTGGCCTCAATTCATCATCTGGTGAGTGAAAGGTGTCAGGCTGGGTGACTTCTAAAATCTTTTCTAGTCCTAAGATTGAGAACTTCATGATATTCAAGATATTTACACAGATTTTCAGCTATTTGGAAAAATTTTAATATCATGGAAAGTAAATTTGTAATATTAAAATTCATATACTTAAATTTACTTGATGGGTTCTCCTATGATGTGCATATTTTCAATTAATCCTAATTCCAAGGGGCGCTTGGGTGGCTCAGTCAGTTAAGTGTCGGACTTTGGCTCAGGTCACGATCTCATGATTTGTGGGTTCAAGCCCCATATTGGGCTCTGTGCTGACAGCTCAGAGCCTAGAGCCTGCTTCAGATTGTGTGTGTGTGTGTGTGTGTGTGTGTCTTTGTCCCTCCCCTGCTCTCGCCATCTCTATCTCTCAAGAACAAACATTTTAAAAATTTTAAAAATAAACTAATTTCTATGAAATAAGTAAGTCCTGGGGAGGTAATGTATAGCATGTTGACTATAGTTAAGCTTGCATTGCATATTTGAATGTTGCAAAGAGATCTTAAAAGTTCTCATTACAAGAAAAATATTTTTGTAACTATGCATGGCGATAAAAGTTAACTAGACTTATTGTGGTGACCGTTTTCCAATATATATAAATATGGAATCATTATGTTGTATATAAATTATACAATATAATATATATTATGAGACTAATATAATGTTATGAATCAATTATACCTCAATTTAAAAAATCCTAACTTCTGCTCATTGGAAAATCTTAAGGGGTGCTTTGAACACCAGCAAGGGCAGTAATGCTGGCTTTTCTGGTTCTGCTGTCTAGCTTGGGAGCTCTCCCTTTCCACAGGTTGGTATCTCGGTGCCCTGGGGTGACAGGCTGGAAGTTGAGAGGTCTGATCCAAGGGCCACCGAGAGGCCATGATACTCACCCAAACTTAAAGGTATTGCCCTGAGCGTGACCCTCGGAGCGGCTGGGGCAGAGGGGTTCACGCCCGGTGCCGCTGAAACCCCAGACTCTCCTAATAAGCCCACACCACACAGTGTGCAGAATCGTATCGCCATTGGCCAGCGTTCCCCAGACACAGGGCACAGAAAACAGTAATAGGAAACCTTGGTTCCTTCACGTCTCCTGGCAACCAGTTTCGAAATCCATTAAGACCCAAGGAATTCGTGATATAGTAGTGATCTCTTTTCTTTCTTTCCTTCGTTTTTTCCTTTCTTCGTTCTTTCCTTCCTTCCTCTCTCCTTCCTTTCCTTCCTCCCTCGCTCCCTCTTTCTTCCCAGGAGTTCAGGGAAGGTTTAATTACTGTGAAGTGCTAAATCTCAATTTCCAGTGTGTGCGGATTACTGTCTTTGTAGAATTAAAATTTTATACACATGCCTCTTTTGCAACTGATTAGAAGCTCTAATTAAATAAATGAGAGTCCTTGCAGGGGTTGGGAGGGCCTACTAGAAGCTTTAGGGCTCATGGTGCATAATCTGAAATCTAAGTGACCGAGAGAATGAAATGTTATCCATAATCACATTTCCCGTGCCAGAAAGAGCGTCAAGGAAGTGCTTTAAATGGCAACAAGAGCTGTTGCTTGAAGTTCACGTCTCCTGAAATTCCAATCTGCCTTATCACCGTCACAGATGAGAGCGATTGCCCTCTGGGGCCCCCGTGTTAAAAAAAAAAAAAAAAAAAGACAAAGAAAGAAAAGAACAACAACAAACCAACCAACTGCTGCGCCTGGGGAAGGAGGCACCGGCGTTAGCAGTCGGCGGCAAGTTTCTGCCGAAAGAGGGCGTTGGTCTAAGACTAATAGAAATTCGTGGACACAGCCACCCAGCCAGTCTAAGGAAAGCCCATCTAAACTCATTTTCAGTTTATTTTAAGTTGTGGCACTTAAGTATCAGAGTTCCCCAGTCCAATGTATCACGTTCACACTGCAAATGACCTCGATGTGTTGTCGCTTTCAGGGGGTCAAGTTCCATTGGACCCGCTTGGAGCGCGGCGGACTTCCGCGAGGCTTCTCTGGCCGCGGACTCCACAGCCGTTCCCATCCTTGTCTCCGCCGCCGTTGTGGCTGTGACCAGCCTAGGTCGGTGACAAGCCTGTGGCAAGCCTAGGTCTCCGACACACGACCTTTGTCTGTAGCGCAGAGTCCTGAGCGCGGTGTCTCGCGCGCCGGCGAGGAGAGGCGGTGAGAGCGGAGGGTGGTGCTGCTGCACCCAGGGGACCCTCGGGTGACGATTTAGGGAGGTCTCTTTAGTTACCTGGTTTGGCAAACAAAACCCCAGGACGCCTCGGAGATGCTCTTCAAGCTACTCGCCACCTCCAGAAGCCGAACTCTTCGCTCGCCTTTGGGAACAAGTTTCGCTTTTCTGCCTGCAGCGCGCCGGCTGAGGGACTTTGCGCGCGGACCCTGGAACCCTGGCAACGCGACGACTCCGGAGCGAGCCCGCGTGGCCCGGGGGAGGACGCGGGCGCACCGCAGGGAAAGCGGGGTACGGAGGGGGTGTAAGTAACGCCTCGCTGGCCGGGAGCCCTGGGTCCTCGATCGAGCCGTCTGCCCTGGGACCTTGGTCCCCGCTCCCTGACCTTGCGCCAAGGGACCAGGCAGGTCGGGTGCCCGCCCCGAGTTAGCTGCTCAGGAGGAAATTTGGCCGGAGCGAGAAAGAGGTGAGAGTGAGCCGGACCGACGGAGTTTTGCAGCGAAACTGCGAATTTCTAGGACCATCCCCTTCCTCTAATCCTGCTGGGTTTTTTGCACGTTGTGTGCGCCTGTGCGCATTTCTTTACGATCAAACACATTTCCGCGTGTAAAGCCTGGAGCTGGGGAAAGCGCTGCCGCGTGCGTGAACAGGGTAAGGCGAGGGACCCCAGGGTGGTGCGGGGTGGTGGGGGCTCCCGCGGGTGCGGACCAGGGCGACTGCGGCTTTAAGGACAAGGCCGAGAGGTGGCTGGGAGTTGCTGGGGTTGTGGACCTGGGAGGGGTGGGAAGGTAGGGGTGCGGGGAGGAGCCCTGATGTAAGAATGTTAATGAAGGCTCCCCCAGCCCAGCCCCCACCACTCCCCACCCCCACCCACCCCACCCGCTGGAAATACAAGCCCGGCCTCGGAGCGCCTTGTGTGGTAACACGCTCCGCCGCTGCCACGCTATTTAAACGCGGACTATGGATCCAGGAACCGGCGCTAATCAATGAGATCAAATGCGGGGGAGATGCACCGTCAATTACAAGCACTGGGACAAGTCTAACTTTTTTTTCTTTTCTTTTCTTTTCTTTCCTTTTTTTTTTTTTTTAACAAATACGCTTTCATAAGCAATCTTAGCAACGCCCAAATAAGAAGCCACCTCTAAGCAAAATAGAATATATAAAGGGAGGGAGGGCAAATATATATATATTTATAAGTATATATATATAAATATATTACAGGCGTACAGGTTTACACGCGGTGAACTTTTTCTTCCTTTTCTCTCTCTCTCTCTCTCTCTCTCTCTCCCTCTCTTTTTAAAACGAGTGACATTGCACAGAAGGACTCTTCCTCTGTCTTTTGTTAAGTTAGTGAAAGGGGTGTTCTGTTTTCTCTGAGCGCCCAAGGGGGCGCAGGGACGTCGGAGAGAAGAGTGGGGAGGCAAGGGGAAGGGTGGGTGGGGGGCGGAGGGCGAGTCGGCAGCGAGGGCGAGCGCTTTGCCGCGGCACGATGCCGTCTCTGCCGGTGCTCCCTTTCTCCGAGTGCGTCTTGCTGGTCTGGGCGCTGCTGGTCGGCAGCACCGGCGGCGGCGAGGGCGCAGGCCCGGGCGGAGGGCGCCGGGAGAGGGAGGCGCTGCCGCCGCAGAAGATCGAGGTGCTGGTCCTGTTGCCCCGGGACGACTCCTACCTGTTCTCTCTGGCCCGGGTGCGGCCGGCCATCGAATACGCGCTGCGCAGCGTGGAGGGCAACGGGACCGAGCGGCGGCTGCTGCCACCCGGCACTCGCTTCCAGGTGGCCTACGAGGACTCGGACTGCGGCAACCGCGCGCTTTTCAGCCTGGTGGACCGCGTGGCGGCGGCACGCGGCGCCAAGCCAGACCTCATCCTGGGGCCGGTGTGCGAGTACGCGGCGGCGCCGGTGGCCCGGCTGGCGTCGCACTGGGACCTGCCCATGCTGTCGGCAGGGGCGCTGGCCGCCGGCTTCCAGCACAAGGACGCGGAGTACTCGCACCTCACGCGCGTGGCCCCCGCGTACGCTAAGATGGGCGAGATGATGCTCGCCCTGTTCCGCCACCACCAGTGGAGCCGCGCCGCGCTCGTCTACAGCGACGACAAGCAGGAGCGGAACTGCTACTTCACCCTCGAAGGGGTCCACGAAGTCTTCCAGGAGGAGGGGTTGCATACGTCCGCCTACAATTTCGATGAGACCAAAGACTTGGATCCGGACGATATCGTGCGCTACATCCAGGCCAGTGAGCGAGGTGAGCCGGAGCGCGCCCCCTCTCCCGGCCCTTAGCCAGCTGCTCTCTGCGGCTCTCCCTGCGTGCCCCGCCGCTCCTCTGCGGACTCCACTACCCACTGCGGCGCACACGCGGATTCGCCGGGGTGTGCGCCGTGGGCTGCCGCAACCTTTGACTATCGCCCCGCATTCGAGGTCATGGGGTGAATGTAGAGGGCCTGGGGGAGGGGCGTCTGAGCCTGCAGCTCCCGCTTGCCCGGGTCCGACAGGTGCTGCGGAACCGCTTGGGCTTGTTTCTTCCTCCCTCCACCGACGCCAGCGCCAGGCTGGGGGTCGGGGGTGCACTCCGGTGCTCTGCTCCAACCACTGTCTGAAAACGTCCCAAGGCCAAACGAACCTGTTGCTCAGTCGTTTACCGGCGTGTCGCTCCCTACTAGTGCGGGAGCGGACGCTTCGCAGCTGGCTCGCGGCTATTTGGCTAGCTTGGTTCTCCGGGTTTCCCTGGCTGTTTCTCCCCCAAATCCTAGCTTTCTTTTAAAGGGTCATTGTTTCGCCCTTCTCATTTTTTACCCATGGTGCTTATAAACGAGCTCATGCGGTTTCCACCAAAAATGCCTCGCTGTGTCTGGACTCACTCACCACCCGCACCTCTTACCCCCGCCCCTGGTGTGCTGTGGTCTCTAAAGCGTCCTGACCGAGGCTTTGCTCGAGAGAGCGCTGGAGAAGCGGGCGCTGTACTGCTTTTCCAAGGGCGCCCCCTAAGTTTTCAACCCGGGTCTGTGGAGGCTTGAATAACCACCAAAGTGGGCAAAGCTCAAGGTTAAGGATGGCGGCTGCGGCTACAGGGAGCGGGAGGAGAAGCGGGTGGTCGCGGATACTTAACTGCAGAAGCCCCCCAGTGAGGCCCGGCTTACGGAGGTATAGGCTGCGTGCAGGTGGGCCCAGGTCCCACTCTAGTGCGGTTCCCTCCTTCCGGGTGTCAAGTTTGGCGCGCAAGGTGCTCAGGTAATCCCACGTCTGCTCCCCCTCGGCGCGCACGCGCCTGGATTGTCAGCGGTGCAGTCCGGGCAAAGCTCCCCACGACCCCACGATCCCACGACCCCACGCGGAGAAGCCAAAGGGGAGAAGGGCTGAGCCAAACACAGGGCTAGTCCACGACTTGGCGTGGCCAGGCGCCTGGGCGCTGGCCGTGGGACCCCGCGCAACCGGAAGCCGGGGGCGTCAGGAGCAGGTGAGAGTGGGCGCAGGCTCCACGGAGGAGGGCGCTTTGGCCACCCCTCTTTCCCAGTTTGGCCACTCGGACTCGGCTCGGGAGTGAACGCACTCTTTAGAGGGACGGGGCGGGAGGTGTTGACAGTGGGGATGCACCGCCAAGTTCTGAGCGTTGAACTCCAGGCTGTCTGCGCCGAGTCCTTGCCAGACAAGCAGGCAGGGTGCCGGGTTCGCTGATTATGAAAAAGGGCGCTTGTGTCCAAAGGCTGCGGACTCGCCGCGCCCGGCGGAGAAACCCACGGATACTTCTTTCTCCTCTCCCCGTCTCCAGGTTACCGCAGACCCCTGCAGCCCTCGGATTTCCTTGTTCCTCCGAACCTGATTCTTCAGCTCTTGGCTTTGAGGGCCCGGCGTTTCCAGCGCCTGGCTTTAGAGGCCAGGAAGGGCTGAGAACTGGGGGCGTGTTACCCTGCGGGCGCGGGCCACGATCTGCCAAGGCGTCCAGGCTGCCCCAGCTCTGAAGGTCCAAATGCTGGTGGTGTTGAGCCATGTACACATGGCCTGCGATTGCTGGCCTAGGGGAGCGGTCAGCCCAGACGTGGGCAGGCCCCTCAGCCTCACAATGGTGTGGCTGAGGCAAGGGGTAGAGAGGCGCCAGTGTCCTGGCAGGCCTGGGGGCTTCAGAGGCCCTGGGCTAGAGTCTGGTGCTCCCGATTATTTTCAATCTTTACCAAAGCCTCAGAGCTATTCCCAGAATTTTTTGCTGCCGCTTCTATTTTTTTTCTTCCAAGTTTGAATTTAGTAGTGGAAGTTTGCTGGGCTGAACTGTATTCTTTACAGGTGATAAAGCTACCATGCTTACTCTAAAATACATTTCCAGGGGCGCCTGGGTGGCTCAGTCGGTTAAGCGTCAGACTTCGGCTCAGGTCATGATCTCATGGTTCGTGGGTCTGAGCCCCGCATCAGGCTCTGTGCTGACAGCCAGCTCAGAGCCTGGAGCCTGCTTCGGATTCCGTATCTCCCTCTCTCTCTGACCCTCCCCTGCTCACGCTGTCTCTCTCTCTCTTTCAGAAATAAATAAAACATTAAAAACAAATAAAATACATTTCCAGCAGTGACTTGGCGGAAGTATAAATATTCAGTAATATAAAACAAAATAGTTTCTCTCCTGTCTTCACCCCCACTCCCCATTTCTCTACCCCCAGGAGAGAAAGTTGCCTGATAACAAAGCTCCCTCTGGGGACCTTTAAAAAAAGATTTTTAAATGGTTATTTATTTATTTAAAAAATGTTTATATTTAAAACATAAAAATTATGTTTTATGTTTATTTTTGATAGAGACAGTGCAAGAAGGTGAGAGACAGAGAGAGAGGGAGACACAGAATCTGAAACAGGCTCCAGGCTCTGAGCTGACAGCACAGAGCACTGTGGGGGGCTTGAACTCACAAACTCTGAGATCATGACCTGAGCAGAAATCCAAAGTCAGAAGCTTAACCGACTGAGCCACCCAGGCCCCCCAAAATGGTTATTTATTTATTTTGAGACAGGGAGAGAGCAAGTGGGGGGTAGGGCAGAAAGACGGGGGTGGGTAGCGGGTAGGAGTGGGGGTGGGAGAGAATCCCAAGCAGACTCTGAGCTGTGGGCACAGAGCCCAGTGCCCCGCTGGATCCCACAGACTGAGACATCATGGCCTGAGCCAAAATCATGGCCTGGGCTGCTCAACCGACTGAGCCACCCAGGCGCCCCTTTCTGGGAACATTTTACTAATCACTCTTACTTCTCCATAAGTGGTTGGAGTGTTAAATAGGGCTTCAGTATGGTTTGGCTCCCAGAGCACCTGCCTGGCTCAGGCAGTTACTGGTCAAACAGGTGGACTGCTACTAAACCTTGGTACCTTAGGCTCCTCAGGTAAAGTAGGGGAGTTGGGGCACCCCATCTTGGGGATGCTAGGAGGGTTAAATAGGCTAACACATGGAATGTGCTGAGGCGGTGCCGGACACGTACTGAATGCTCAGTAAATGTGAGGTTTTATTGTAGTTATTGTTGTTGTATATATGTGAAGGTAATCACCCTTACAGAGGTGAGGCCATGCGGTGGGGAGAGAACCCTGAGAGGAGAAGGGGGTGCCCTGGCTTTGGCATCTCCACTCGGCTGCTGCGTGGCCTGGGCAAGGCACTTACTTTCTCTGCGGTAGCACTTCCTCCCTGAAACGGTGAGGTTGGATGAGAATCACGCCTCTTCATGATGATCCTGGGTTTGGATTTGTGCTCACTGAGATCTGAAACATGTGACTGATCACATTTTTGTCCGTGAAAACTACCTGTTAAAGCTCAGAGACTGGAGAGTCTCCCATTGCCCCCTGTTCTGGAGATAACATTTCTGGCACTTGTTTTGATCTTAAATTAGTCTTTATTATTTTTTTAATGTTTATTTATTTTTGAGAGAAAGAGAGAGAGCATGAGTGGGAGAGGGGCAGAGAGAGAGGGAGACGCAGAATCAGAAGCAGGCTCCAGGCTCTGAGCTGTCAGCACAGAGCCTGACCCAGGGCTTGAACCCACCAACCATGAGATCATGACCTGAGCAGAAGTCGGACACTTAATCGACTGAGCCGCCCAGGTGCCCTTGATCTTAAGTTCGTCTTTAAGATCATATACAAATGTTTGAATTTCTTAATGGGTAAAAACTGATAATGCCACCATCTCAAATAATAATATGGCTAAAATTTCATTTGGCCATGTGCTGTACTGTAAAATTAAGAACTGAGGGATATTAATCATTCCATTTAGGGACTTTGCACTGAAGTCAATAGTTAAAATTTGCCTCCCCCTTTTACCTTTAGCCAACATGTATCATCACCAAAATATACACACCTGACAATATAGTCATAAAAAATAATGATCTTTATTTAAATTTGATTCAATTCTGCAGTCCACTGCTGCCCTTAATATTCTATACTCAGCAATAAATTTAGTGTCAAAAAGGCTAGTTTAAAAATAAATTTTTTTTCAAGCAATAGAGGCTAGCAGTTGTTTTATCTTTACATCTTATCAGATGTAGAACCAGAAGTATCATATACACACGCATTTTTTTTGTGTGTGAAGAACTGTAGTTTTATCCTTTTAGTTATTAATATGTCATTAATCTGGCCTCCATAGCAACTGTAGAGATAGCGGTATTTAATCAGGACAAGAGTCATTTATTTTTAGAATTTGCCTGGGGTAAAGGACCAAGTAAGTAGTGGGTCAGCAGAATTTTTGAGTGAAGAATGCAGGATAAGTGTAAAATAACTATCACACAGCAGGGGAAGAAAGAAGCATTGTAAGCTGTAGTGTAGAAATTCTGAAAGCCTTTGGAGTAGATGGAACTTTGTGAACAACAAAAATAAAAGTGCAATCTCTATTTTGCAAATGAAACCCATTGTTGTATAGTGTAGGAACAACCAGAAAGAAGTATTTTTTTAAAAAAATATTAATTTTATGGGAGTTAGTTATACAGTTACGTAGTTTAAAAAGTCAGAAGGTTGGGTGCTTGGGTGGCTCAGTGGGTTAAGTGTCTGACTTTGGCTTAGGTCATGAATCTCACAGTTTGTGAGTTTGAGCCCTGCATTGGGCTCCATGCTGACAGTGCAGAGATTGCTTGGGATTCTGTCTCCCTCCCTCTCTCTCTGTCCCCCTGACCCAAATAAATAAATAAACTAAAAAAAACCCACTAAGATTACACAAGCCTTATTAGGAACAAGAATTTCCTATCTCCTACTTCCTATTTCTCATTTCCCAGAGGAAAGTATTTTCAACTCTTACAGCTATTTCTG